TAAAATAAAGCAGTCTCTGTATAAAACAGCAAGGCCTCCACCGCGGCCGTGGCTGTGCGCCTTTTCAATGTATTTGTATTCAGGCGGAGTTTCTTCATTAAGATGGTGAAAGTCACTGTCTCTGTGCCATGTTTCAGTGAGACAGATGTAAAAGTCATTGTCAGAGAAACTCTTACAGAAGAAGAGACTTATTCGTTAAGGATTGTAGAGTGCAAAACGTGTGGACGTATTGGTGGAAACAGATTCATTGCATTGTGGTTGGTCCACTCCGCTCTGTATTGGTTTGGAGTAGGTGATGTCAATTGCCTGAGGGTTAGCCTGCAGAACTGGCAAGTGATCATTATTGTCCAACTTCGGTGTGCATGTTGTACTGCTCACATTGTGAGTGCACACAATAGACTTTAATTCCTCGCCGTCTGCATGTTTTATGTAGGATCCCGTATTGCATAAGGCTGTTCTTGAGCTCCTTGCACAGGGTTGTTTTAATCTGTTCAAAACTTCTGAGGAATCCTTGCAGTGGAGGAAAGTTGCTGCCATTTCTTAATCTTTGGTCCAGGAGATGAGAGGAAGATCTAGGCTAGTATTCGAATCCAAACAATTAGCTAGTTGATTGGAGAAGTATGCTAATATCTTGTCAAGTTTAAATGTCAGTTTAGATGACTCGATTTTTGTATTCAGTATGTTACGAAACCGATTAACTAGCCTGTAATATTGTTGCACTCGCAAAGTCTAGGGGTCTTAGGCCTAGTTCACTGGTCTGTAACCTGATTTTAAGATGTGCACCTATGTGAGAAATCAGCACCTAGGTGTTGAAAGTACATGTGCCCAGGGAGACAGCAACCTTACCTTGGTCCAGGGGCAGCTCTGTCTCTCTTGACCTCTTTTGGGTCAGCCGAGCCCAAGCGGATTATTATGTTCAGATGGTGACGGAAACCAATATTTACAAAAAGGAAAACTACAAACAGGCATGCCTAAACTAAAGATTTAAAATCCAAATGAAAGGCCTCATGGCCACCAAATGAACCAGCAGCCTCACAAGTAGGGACACTGACTGACGATCCTTAATTGGCTGCATCTGATGTGCTTATCAACCAGGCTCACCACCAAGACAAGGTTGCTGCTGCCCACTGAGGGAATGGAGTGTGGAAGTGGTAGTGTGCTGTCTAAACTACCTAACCTATTCCCTAACAAGTACTTGATTAGCTTTAAAAAAAAAAAAAAAAAGATCATTGAAAGTAATGCACATAAAAAAACACTTAAAACTAATTTGTCACTAAGCGCCATGGCAACCAGGTAAAAAAAAGTAGTCATTAGATAATGGGTTACTAAAATCAACTAAATGCTCCCTTGTTATTGTTTCATAAACTTTGATTTGCTGTTATATTTCAGTGACGAGGAGCCAATAGAGGTGCATCAAAAGAGATGTGTAAGGATGATTTATATTCTTTGCATACTTGGCATTTGAAGCCATTTTCATTGATTCATCTGAAAATATGTGCCTCAGAACTAACTTCCAGTTAGTATTAATACTTAAAGTTATTGTCCTCACACAGTCATGAGAGGCAGTTAGTTCATTGGCTCTCTAATGGGTTTCATTTCTACATAGATTACTATGTACCCCATTTTCGGGAATATTGTGGCATTTTTTTGTATTTATTTGTATTTATTAGGGATCCCCATTAGCTACTGCCAAGGCAGCAGCTACTCTGCCTGGGGTCCAAACACATTAAGGCACTTACATTACATATTTAAAAAAAAGATAAAACAGTACATCATATAACATTATTACACCACTACATATTTACAATACAAAATGTATAATACCATCAGACAACAATATTACAATGCATGTGTGTGTAGAGTGCGTGTGCTAGCGCTTGTGTGCGTATGCGTTTGTCTCTATCTTTGTGTGTGTCTCTTCACAGTCCCCGCTGTTCCATAAGGTATTTTTGTATATGTTTTTTAAATCTGATTCTACTGCTTGCATCAGTTACCTGATGTGGAATAGAGTTCCATGTAGTCATTGCTCTATGTAGTACTGTGTGCCTAACAGTCTGTTCTGGACTTGGGGATTGTGAAGAGACCTCTGGTGGCATGTCTTGTGGGGTATGCATGGGTGTCCGAGTTTAAACAGACAGCTCGGTGCATTCAGCTTGTCAACACTTCTTACAAAAACAATTAGTGATGTAGTCAATCTCTCCTCCACTTTGAGCCATGAGAGATTGACATACTCCAACCATTGTTGGAAAGCTAAAAAGATCATCAGTTAGGAGTTTTTGAGTAATTCAGGGGAACAAACAGAGTTTGGTTTTCCATGTGAAGCTCAGGATGTTGTTGAAGAAATCTTACAGACACTCAAAGGTCAAGGGTCAGACATTAGTCAGTATGGATACATGGCTATTGACCATGTATCCTCCTCTATATCTTAGACCTTATTCAAACACACAAGTGAGACTCACCTCAATAAAGACAATGCAAAGAAACCTAGTAAACATCACATCACCATTGGGAATGAGACCCTGGTCTCAGTTGGGCTACCCTGAATAAATACAAGTTTATAAATAAAACAGCTCACCTGCTCTCTAATCCCCTGTGTCGCTAGTACAGAGCTGGCTAAATTCCGTGGCTCGCTCTCAAAGTCAGCTCCGTCTCTTCTGAAGGAGACATATGGTGAGCGATCCACAAACCTCAAGATGGAAAGGGAACTTCCAGCCTGCATCTCATATCCAAGATATGAGAACCTGGTGATACAGCCTTACATGTATATAAAATAACCTAGTGATACAGCCTTATGTAAATAGCATAGACATCATTGTACATAGAGTTACAGCAGAGGTGTTGTCTACTATTGCACATGGACACACAAAGGAGTGTAACCAGGAAGCAAAACATTCTTTGTCTGAAGTCAAGCCGAAAACAATACCTCAAACAATGCAGTGGCCCCTGAGAACAGAAACAGACCTTGGTCCTTGACACTGACTGCAGTCGTACTACAGATACCTGTCAGCGAAACGACATGCAAAAGCTGTAAATACCCTCCATGCACTTACTCAAGTCCACAGTGGAGACGTTTGTGAAGGTGATGGATCAGTGCAAGCTACCGGACATCCTCATGTCAGTCAGAGCAGGGAGTGCTTTGTGCTTTGAGCGAAATGCAGCCTTCCTAGAGTGGTGACGCTGAGCTGTTGAAACAGTCTGGACTTCAGACATCAGGGGAGGAGCTGAAGATGAACACAGAGCTGTGATGATTTGTCAACTTCACTCTGTGATGTTGTGACCAAGTCTGTGATGAATTCTTTGCTGTGGGATAACTCTCCCCAGGCCTCAACAAGCAACACAGGTAAGTCCGCAGCTATCATCTTATTTTAAAGGTAAAAAGTTAGAGTGGTATATCTCACTGGTCATCCCCAAAGCCAACACCTCCTTTGGCCGCCATTCCTTCCAGTTCTCTGCTGCCAATGACTGGAACGAACTGCAAAAATCTCTGAAGCTGGAGATTCTTATCTCCCTCACTAACTTTAAGCGTCAGTTGTCAGAGCAGCTTACCGATCACTGCACCTGTACACAGCCTTTCTGAAATTAGACCACCCAACTACCTCATCCCCATATTGTTATTTATTTTGCTAATTTGCACCCCAGTATCTCTATTTGCACATCATCTTTTGCACATCTATCATTCCAGTATTATACGAAATTTTAACTATTTTGCACTATGGCCTATTTATTGCCTTACCTCCATAACTTACTACATTTGCACACACTGTATATATATTTTCTGTTGTATTTTTGACTTTATGTTTTGTTTACCCCATATGTAACTCTGTGTTGTTGTTTTTATCGCACTGCTTTGCTTTATCTTGGCCAGGTCGCAGTTGTAAATGAGAACTTGTTCTCAACTGACTTACCTGGTTAAATAAAGGTGAAATAAAATAAAAATAAATAAAAAAGAGCGCCTCTATTGGCGAGTCACTTTTCTGACCAACCAAATTATATTATCACATAGGCCTACCACAGCTTCAGTTTTTGCGAAGTAAATGTATCCTTTATGGAGTGGGTTGGTGGGTACTTATATTTTTCCTATTTCACATGTACAAGTGTGTATTAATACGCATGTGTGAATTAGATTTTATTTATTTATTTTTTTGTATATCCCAACTCCCCCTGAGACAGAGTGGGGTCACGGCCTTGAGCATATTTACTCACATTTAGCCTTTACTAATTTACGAATATGTACAGAATTAAATCCCTCAATAGAAATTAGATATCATGTAAGCATGAGAATAAAATATCTATTAGCGCCTGTTCCATGTTAATAATTTGTAGTCTATGCTTTTATGATTCATGTTATGTAGCTGTCAAAATAGGCTGCTTTCATGGAATGGAAGTTAACTGAAAAACATCAAACACGTTGTGAGCATTGAGCAGTAATTGGTCACACAAAAAAACATGTAGGCATTGATCAGTAGTAATTACATTTTTATTTCATTAAAAAAAAAGGCTACAATGTTATTTCCTATAAACTATTTGATTAATCAAAAATATACTTCTAAAAAATAAAACTAGTAGTTTATTTGAAAGTGACCAAAGAGATTTGGATAGATACTGACGCATTATTGCATCATGTGCACTGTTACCATAAAAATAGTGACTGTTACATCACTATTACATCATAGAAACGGTTTGTCAGTGTGGCATTTTTATAACAGAGAGTGATGGTTATCAATCACTGGAGAAAAAAAATTCCTGAGGGTAAGAAAAACGTATCCACTGAAGGCCTTCAGCGCTGCAAACTTCTTTTTTTTCAAAATAGAAATAGAAGGTATCGCAGCCGCAACATTGTCATGATCTGTACACTAGTCATGTTAAAGAAGAGTATTGGCTTGGTGGTCATTCTTTGACCAGTCAGAGATACTCAATTGACAAAAATGGCAATTTGGTCACCATGTTGTATGAATTCAACACCACAGATTAAGTCTCATTTTCCCCTGTGTTTTTCAGATGTGAAAAGGATCATGTGGTCTAAATGCGTGAAACCTGAGCTTCCCTGGCACGGTAAGGCTGCCAGCACTATGAGAAGGTATTTTAGGAAGACGTCACCAGTTAAGACAGCCGTGCACACTGAAGAGGAGCCTCACATCAGAGCCACCCAGGCAGACTGGAATGAGGGAAAACCCAGCCAGTCACAGGCCAAACACCATGAGGCACCCGTCTGGGCCCAAAGAGCCAAGGAGCAAATGAAAAGTGCATTGAAGCCCCTGGAATCTCCAGCTAATAAGGAGCCAACCTTAACAACTGCACCACAAACACCAGAGTAGCAACAGGGCAGGATGGTTTAATGTACTTGAGAACCAACCCAGGACAAAGTCAGCCCGGCAGAGTGTGAGGGCCCGACATATGACACTAGATGACATCAGTCTATTTTATTTTCTTGAGAATCTACACGCTCAGCAAGTTGAAACAATTGAGGATATTGTGACCTGCTTAATAGGCGAAATCTACTACGATAAGACAGGTACCCAACCAGACACCCCCATTCCTGGCCTGAGTGAAACAGCTTTGGACCTCATTGATAATGTGGTTGATGAGCTAAAGAACACCCCAAGTGACCTGTTTGGTTTACATACCGATGAGCCTCTGGTCCTCCCATCTAGTTATAAACGTCAGGTGGCCAAGAGTGTTCACAAAGAATTGCTTTCCTGCACTGGTTCCCAAGAAAGCTTATGGAAGGCTGTATCCTCAGGCCACATGGTGAAAGAGATTGCCAGCTCAATCTCTCTGGAGGTGTCCAAAGTAACCAGCAAGATTGGGGCTATCTATCACACCAATAGTGTCAATCACACTGATAGTCCAATCTCACCCGGCCCCAGAACGGACACAAATGTTTCTTGGGTGTCCTGTGCAGCCTCAGACATCTCTGAAGATCTTGTCCTCAGAATCCTAGACTTCATATCATACTGTCGGTCACCAGACAGCACCTGGAATGGGCCACAGAGCCGATGCTCCACTGACATGACCGGAGATCTCATGGATGCAGTCATGGTGGAGCTCTTCACTAACACAGCCATGCTGACGACTCCAGAAGATGACCACCAGCAACAATGGTGCAAACCCTCCCTTACAGATCTGGAGAAAGCTGCCAGATTAGTGTATGAGAAGATGGTGAGGGAAACTGGCTCAGCTGAGGCATTGCAAGACGCTCTCAAGCTCAGAAGGAAGCTTGCAGTCACAGCACTGGCTGATGTAGTGGCAAAGCAAGTGTACAAGCTCTTCCCAGAACAGGAGTCAGACTCCACATATCTCCCAGCCCAAACCAGCCACAAAGATGACTGCCCTGTTACGAGCCACAGTAACAGACAGCTCACACCTGAGCTTGCTGCTGTTCAATCTGCCAGTGAGTGCATAGTGAACTGCAAGGCTGTGTGGGAGATCATCTCCAGACTGCTGCAGGAGATTTCTCCTAACGTGCCCATGGAAGAGAAGCGCCACCTTTATGCTCAGGATCTTTTTCATTGTGCTATAAATCAACTGTCTGAGTCTCCAGGGGTAAGAGTATGTGCTGATGAGACTATCTGTGATGTCTGCCGCCATCCACAGGTCATTGAGTAAATCCGCGGCCGTGTTCTGGAGTGCCTGCAATTTCAGATGAACCTCATGGGCTACAACTTAAGCTCTGCCCTGGATGCCCAAGATGAGGCTCTCAGCTACTTCATTGTTGCTCATCTTGTGCAAGAGACTCTGCTGTTGATCTCAAGTCAAACCAATGGCAGCTCCCCTGAAGTAGACTCAGGTTCCCACCATCAACCTGAGAGTCAAACACCACTATATGTAGTGAGTAGCAAAGTAAATTATGAAGAATGGCCCACGTGGCATTCAAACATCACTTTATCAAAGGGCCTTTCCACCATTTCTGCAACCAAGGGCTTGTCACCAAGGGCTTGCCTTTCCACTGTTTCTGCAACAAAGGGCCTATCACAGATGCCAGGTCAAACATACACTGGCAGAAGGGGGCCCACAGTCCTGAGTGTGAAAATAAAAAAGGTACAGTAGGTGCTTATGCAGTAACAGATTGGAAATCCCCCAAACTCAGGCAAATTCAAATATCAATTTTAATGTTTGACTTAAAATGTCATACACATTATTTTATGCAGTTTTGTAGACATTCTTTCACAGCTGAAGGATTTAACCATGCATTTATATGTCAATACAGCACTCACACAGAGGAATTCATATCACACCGTCAGAAAGGATAATTCGGTTGAAGGAAATGCAGAGGGAGTCATCTTCTGAGGTCTCATCAGGTTTGAACCATGCATTTGCGTTCAACAAGTGTACCTCTACTTCTTAAGGAATTATACTCTGGTAAATTGTTGTGGAAAGTCCGTGTTGCCCAGCGACAGCCCCAAAACATCACTGCTCTAGAGGAGATCTGCATGGAGGAATGGGACAAAATACCAGCAACAGTGTGTGAAAACCTTGTGAAGACTTACAGAAAACGTTTGACCTGTGTCATTGCCAACAAAGGGTATATAACAAAGTATTGAGAAACTTTTGTTATTGACCAAATACTTATTTTCCACCATAATTTGCAAATAAATTCATTAAAAATCCTACACTGTGATTTTCTGGACACGTCTGGCACTGCAGGATTTGAGTCCCTGGCGGCGTAGTGTGTTACAGATGGTAGGCTTTGTTACTTTGGTCCCAGCTCTCTGCAGGTCATTCACTAGGTCCCCCCGTGTGGTTCTGGGATTTTTGCTCACCGTTCTTGTGATCATTTTGACCCCACGGGGTGAGATCTTGCGTGGAGCCCCAGATCGAGGGAGATTATCAGTGGTCTTGTATGTCTTCCATTTCCTAATAATTGCTTCCACAGTTGATTTCTTCAAACCAAGCTGCTTACCTATTGCAGATTCAGTCTTCCCAGCCTGGTGCAGGTCTACAATTTTGTTTCTGGTGTCCTTTGACAGCTCTTTGGTCTTGGCCATAGTGGAGTTTGGAGTGTGACTGTTTGAGGTTGTGGACAGGTGTCTTTTATACTGATAACAAGTTCAAACAGGTGCCATTAATACAGGTAACGAGTGGAGGACAGAGGAGCCTCTTAAAGAAGAAGTTACAGGTCTGTGAGAGCCAGAAATCTTGCTTGTTTGTAGGTGACCAAATACTTATTTTCCACCATAATTTGCAAATAAATTCATTAAAAATCCTACAATGTGATTTTCCGGAATTTTTTTCCTCAATTTGTCTGTCATAGTTGACGTGTACCTATGATGAAAATTACAGGCCTCTCTCATCTTTTTAAGTGGGAGAACTTGCACAATTGGTGGCTGACTAAATACTTTTTTCCCCCATTGTATTTCTGTACTTAACATTTGCTAAAAGAATTCTAAACATGTTTTCACTTTGTCATTACGGGGTATTGTGTGTAGATGCGTGAGGGAAAAAAAACTATTTAATCAATTTCGAATTCAGGTTGTAACACACCAAAATGTGAAATAAGTCAAGGGGTATGAATACTTTCGGAAGGCACTGTATATTTTTAAATGCTATAAAAGGAAGAGCAATTAGTGTGACAGAAAAAATTATACTTATTTTCTTAGTAGTACAGTAGCTGCCACTCAAATTTGATATATTTTTATATAATTATTACGAGATTGTCATGTTCGTTTAAGGACGGGTCAAACCAAGGCGCAGCGTGAAATGCATACATGTTTATTTCAATGATAAACACACAACCAAAACAACATAACGTGAAGTCCTCAGGCTAAACGCAACACAAGCCTCTAAACGGAACAAGATCCCACAACTAATGAGTGCCAACAGGCTACTTAAGTATGATCAGCGACAGCTGCCTCTGATTGGGAATCACACCCGGCCAAACATAGAAACACACAACATAGAATGCAAACATAGAAATACTAACATACAGTGGGGGAGAACAAGTATTTGATACACTGTCGATTTTGCAGGTTTTCCTACTTACAAAGCATGTAGAGGTCTGTCATTTTTATAATAGGTACACTTCAACTGTGAGAGACAGAATCTAAAACAAAAATCCAGAAAATCACATAGTATGATTTTTAAGTAATTAATTTGCATTTTATTGCATGACATAAGTATTTGATCACCTACCAACCAGTAAGACTTCCGGCTCTCACAGACCTGTTAGTTTTTCTTTAAGAAGCCCTCCTGTTCGCCACTCATTACCTGTATTAACTGCACCTGTTTGAACTCGTTACCTGTATAAAAGACACCTGTCCACACACTCAATCAAACAGACTCCAACCTCTCCACAATGACCAAAGACCAGAGAGCTGTGTAAGGACATCAGGGATAAAATTGTAGACCTGCACAAGGCTGGGATGGGCTACAGTCCCAAAGGTGCGGACTCCGACCGCACAAACCTTACATAACAGGGTAGGGTCCGGGTGGCCATTCCGCCTCGGAGGCGGATCCGGCTCCGGGCGTGATGACCACATTCTCTCAGCCTCCCCGTTGCGCCCCTGGTCTGGTCTGGACCTCTGCGCGCTGCTTCCCCTCTCCTTCCTCCCACGATGTACCAAGCCCTGTCTGGACCCTGGTATGGGAGACCCCGAACCTGGAGAGGGGCTGACGTCTGGGTCTGGACTGGAGCCGCTGACCAGAGCTGGACTTGGCACCGGTGGAGCGGACTGCTCTGGCTCCGGAGTGGAGCTGCTGACCGGAGCTGAACTTGGCACCGGTGGAGCGGACTGCTCTAGCTCCGGAGTGGAGCAGCTGACCGGAGCTGGACTAGACCCCGGTGGAGCGGACTGCTCTGGCTCCGGAGTGGAGCAGCTGACCGGAGTTGGATCAGGCACCGGTGGAGCGGACTGCTCTGGCTCCGGAGTGGAGCCGCTGACCGGAGCTGGACTAGGTACCGGTGGAGCGGACTACTCTAGCTCCGGAGTGGAGCAGCTGACCGGAGCTGGACTGGTCCCCAGTGGAGCGGACTGCTCTGGCTCCGGAGTGGAGCAGCTGACCGGAGCTGGATCAGGCACCGGTGGAGCGGACTGCTCTGGCTCCGGAGTGGAGCAGCTGACCGTTGCCGGACCAGGCACCGGTGGAACAGGCACGCACTGGTTACTTCTGGAGGTGTCCAAAGTAACCAGCAAGATTGGGGCTATCTATCACACCAATAGTGTCAATCACACTGATAGTCCAATCTCACCCGGCCCCAGAACGGACACGAATGTTTCTTGGGTGTCCTGTGCAGCCTCAGACATCTCTGAAGATCTTGTCCTCAGAATCCTAGACTTCATATCATACTGTCGGTCACCAGACAGCACCTGGAATGGGCCACAGAGCCGATGCTCCACTGACATGACCGGAGATCTCATGGATGCAGTCATGGTGGAGCTCTTCACTAACACAGCCATGCTGGCGACTCCAGAAGATGACCACCAGCAACAATGGTGCAAACCCTCCCTTACAGATCTGGAGAAAGCTGCCAGATTAGTGTATGAGAAGATGGTGAGGGAAACTGGCTCAGCTGAGGCATTGCAAGACGCTCTCAAGCTCAGAAGGAAGCTTGCAGTCACAGCACTGGCTGATGTAGTGGCAAAGCAAGTGTACAAGCTCTTCCCAGAACAGGAGTCAGACTCCACATATCTCCCAGCCCAAACCAGCCACAAAGATGACTGCCCTGTTACGAGCCACAGTAACAGACAGCTCACACCTGAGCTTGCTGCTGTTCAATCTGCCAGTGAGTGCATAGTGAACTGCAAGGCTGTGTGGGAGATCATCTCCAGACTGCTGCAGGAGATTTCTCCTAACGTGCCCATGGAAGAGAAGCGCCACCTTTATGCTCAGGATCTTTTTCATTGTGCTATAAATCAACTGTCTGAGTCTCCAGGGGTAAGAGTATGTGCTGATGAGACTATCTGTGATGTCTGCCGCCATCCACAGGTCATTGAGTAAATCCGCGGCCGTGTTCTGGAGTGCCTGCAATTTCAGATGAACCTCATGGGCTACAACTTAAGCTCTGCCCTGGATGCCCAAGATGAGGCTCTCAGCTACTTCATTGTTGCTCATCTTGTGCAAGAGACTCTGCTGTTGATCTCAAGTCAAACCAATGGCAGCTCCCCTGAAGTAGACTCAGGTTCCCACCATCAACCTGAGAGTCAAACACCACTATATGTAGTGAGTAGCAAAGTAAATTATGAAGAATGGCCCACGTGGCATTCAAACATCACTTTATCAAAGGGCCTTTCCACCATTTCTGCAACCAAGGGCTTGTCACCAAGGGCTTGCCTTTCCACTGTTTCTGCAACAAAGGGCCTATCACAGATGCCAGGTCAAACATACACTGGCAGAAGGGGGCCCACAGTCCTGAGTGTGAAAATAAAAAAGGTACAGTAGGTGCTTATGCAGTAACAGATTGGAAATCCCCCAAACTCAGGCAAATTCAAATATCAATTTTAATGTTTGACTTAAAATGTCATACACATTATTTTATGCAGTTTTGTAGACATTCTTTCACAGCTGAAGGATTTAACCATGCATTTATATGTCAATACAGCACTCACACAGAGGAATTCATATCACACCGTCAGAAAGGATAATTCGGTTGAAGGAAATGCAGAGGGAGTCATCTTCTGAGGTCTCATCAGGTTTGAACCATGCATTTGCGTTCAACAAGTGTACCTCTACTTCTTAAGGAATTATACTCTGGTAAATTGTTGTGGAAAGTCCGTGTTGCCCAGCGACAGCCCCAAAACATCACTGCTCTAGAGGAGATCTGCATGGAGGAATGGGACAAAATACCAGCAACAGTGTGTGAAAACCTTGTGAAGACTTACAGAAAACGTTTGACCTGTGTCATTGCCAACAAAGGGTATATAACAAAGTATTGAGAAACTTTTGTTATTGACCAAATACTTATTTTCCACCATAATTTGCAAATAAATTCATTAAAAATCCTACACTGTGATTTTCTGGACACGTCTGGCACTGCAGGATTTGAGTCCCTGGCGGCGTAGTGTGTTACAGATGGTAGGCTTTGTTACTTTGGTCCCAGCTCTCTGCAGGTCATTCACTAGGTCCCCCCGTGTGGTTCTGGGATTTTTGCTCACCGTTCTTGTGATCATTTTGACCCCACGGGGTGAGATCTTGCGTGGAGCCCCAGATCGAGGGAGATTATCAGTGGTCTTGTATGTCTTCCATTTCCTAATAATTGCTTCCACAGTTGATTTCTTCAAACCAAGCTGCTTACCTATTGCAGATTCAGTCTTCCCAGCCTGGTGCAGGTCTACAATTTTGTTTCTGGTGTCCTTTGACAGCTCTTTGGTCTTGGCCATAGTGGAGTTTGGAGTGTGACTGTTTGAGGTTGTGGACAGGTGTCTTTTATACTGATAACAAGTTCAAACAGGTGCCATTAATACAGGTAACGAGTGGAGGACAGAGGAGCCTCTTAAAGAAGAAGTTACAGGTCTGTGAGAGCCAGAAATCTTGCTTGTTTGTAGGTGACCAAATACTTATTTTCCACCATAATTTGCAAATAAATTCATTAAAAATCCTACAATGTGATTTTCCGGAATTTTTTTCCTCAATTTGTCTGTCATAGTTGACGTGTACCTATGATGAAAATTACAGGCCTCTCTCATCTTTTTAAGTGGGAGAACTTGCACAATTGGTGGCTGACTAAATACTTTTTTCCCCCATTGTATTTCTGTACTTAACATTTGCTAAAAGAATTCTAAACATGTTTTCACTTTGTCATTACGGGGTATTGTGTGTAGATGCGTGAGGGAAAAAAAAACTATTTAATCAATTTCGAATTCAGGTTGTAACACACCAAAATGTGAAATAAGTCAAGGGGTATGAATACTTTCGGAAGGCACTGTATATTTTTAAATGCTATAAAAGGAAGAGCAATTAGTGTGACAGAAAAAATTATACTTATTTTCTTAGTAGTACAGTAGCTGCCACTCAAATTTGATATATTTTTATATAATTATTACGAGATTGTCATGTTCGTTTAAGGACGGGTCAAACCAAGGCGCAGCGTGAAATGCATACATGTTTATTTCAATGATAAACACACAACCAAAACAACATAACGTGAAGTCCTCAGGCTAAACGCAACACAAGCCTCTAAACGGAACAAGATCCCACAACTAATGAGTGCCAACAGGCTACTTAAGTATGATCAGCGACAGCTGCCTCTGATTGGGAATCACACCCGGCCAAACATAGAAACACACAACATAGAATGCAAACATAGAAATACTAACATACAGTGGGGGAGAACAAGTATTTGATACACTGTCGATTTTGCAGGTTTTCCTACTTACAAAGCATGTAGAGGTCTGTCATTTTTATAATAGGTACACTTCAACTGTGAGAGACAGAATCTAAAACAAAAATCCAGAAAATCACATAGTATGATTTTTAAGTAATTAATTTGCATTTTATTGCATGACATAAGTATTTGATCACCTACCAACCAGTAAGACTTCCGGCTCTCACAGACCTGTTAGTTTTTCTTTAAGAAGCCCTCCTGTTCGCCACTCATTACCTGTATTAACTGCACCTGTTTGAACTCGTTACCTGTATAAAAGACACCTGTCCACACACTCAATCAAACAGACTCCAACCTCTCCACAATGACCAAAGACCAGAGAGCTGTGTAAGGACATCAGGGATAAAATTGTAGACCTGCACAAGGCTGGGATGGGCTACAGTCCCAAAGGTGCGGACTCCGACCGCACAAACCTTACATAACAGGGTAGGGTCCGGGTGGCCATTCCGCCTCGGAGGCGGATCCGGCTCCGGGCGTGATGACCACATTCTCTCAGCCTCCCCGTTGCGCCCCTGGTCTGGTCTGGACCTCTGCGCGCTGCTTCCCCTCTCCTTCCTCCCACGATGTACCAAGCCCTGTCTGGACCCTGGTATGGGAGACCCCGAACCTGGAGAGGGGCTGACGTCTGGGTCTGGACTGGAGCCGCTGACCAGAGCTGGACTTGGCACCGGTGGAGCGGACTGCTCTGGCTCCGGAGTGGAGCTGCTGACCGGAGCTGAACTTGGCACCGGTGGAGCGGACTGCTCTAGCTCCGGAGTGGAGCAGCTGACCGGAGCTGGACTAGACCCCGGTGGAGCGGACTGCTCTGGCTCCGGAGTGGAGCAGCTGACCGGAGTTGGATCAGGCACCGGTGGAGCGGACTGCTCTGGCTCCGGAGTGGAGCCGCTGACCGGAGCTGGACTAGGTACCGGTGGAGCGGACTACTCTAGCTCCGGAGTGGAGCAGCTGACCGGAGCTGGACTGGTCCCCAGTGGAGCGGACTGCTCTGGCTCCGGAGTGGAGCAGCTGACCGGAGCTGGATCAGGCACCGGTGGAGCGGACTGCTCTGGCTCCGGAGTGGAGCAGCTGACCGTTGCCGGACCAGGCACCGGTGGAACAGGCACGCACTGGTTACTTCTGGAGGTGTCCAAAGTAACCAGCAAGATTGGGGCTATCTATCACACCAATAGTGTCAATCACACTGATAGTCCAATCTCACCCGGCCCCAGAACGGACACGAATGTTTCTTGGGTGTCCTGTGCAGCCTCAGACATCTCTGAAGATCTTGTCCTCAGAATCCTAGACTTCATATCATACTGTCGGTCACCAGACAGCACCTGGAATGGGCCACAGAGCCGATGCTCCACTGACATGACCGGAGATCTCATGGATGCAGTCATGGTGGAGCTCTTCACTAACACAGCCATGCTGGCGACTCCAGAAGATGACCACCAGCAACAATGGTGCAAACCCTCCCTTACAGATCTGGAGAAAGCTGCCAGATTAGTGTATGAGAAGATGGTGAGGGAAACTGGCTCAGCTGAGGCATTGCAAGACGCTCTCAAGCTCAGAAGGAAGCTTGCAGTCACAGCACTGGCTGATGTAGTGGCAAAGCAAGTGTACAAGCTCTTCCCAGAACAGGAGTCAGACTCCACATATCTCCCAGCCCAAACCAGCCACAAAGATGACTGCCCTGTTACGAGCCACAGTAACAGACAGCTCACACCTGAGCTTGCTGCTGTTCAATCTGCCAGTGAGTGCATAGTGAACTGCAAGGCTGTGTGGGAGATCATCTCCAGACTGCTGCAGGAGATTTCTCCTAACGTGCCCATGGAAGAGAAGCGCCACCTTTATGCTCAGGATCTTTTTCATTGTGCTATAAATCAACTGTCTGAGTCTCCAGGGGTAAGAGTATGTGCTGATGAGACTATCTGTGATGTCTGCCGCCATCCACAGGTCATTGAGTAAATCCGCGGCCGTGTTCTGGAGTGCCTGCAATTTCAGATGAACCTCATGGGCTACAACTTAAGCTCTGCCCTGGATGCCCAAGATGAGGCTCTCAGCTACTTCATTGTTGCTCATCTTGTGCAAGAGACTCTGCTGTTGATCTCAAGTCAAACCAATGGCAGCTCCCCTGAAGTAGACTCAGGTTCCCACCATCAACCTGAGAGTCAAACACCACTATATGTAGTGAGTAGCAAAGTAAATTATGAAGAATGGCCCACGTGGCATTCAAACATCACTTTATCAAAGGGCCTTTCCACCATTTCTGCAACCAAGGGCTTGTCACCAAGGGCTTGCCTTTCCACTGTTTCTGCAACAAAGGGCCTATCACAGATGCCAGGTCAAACATACACTGGCAGAAGGGGGCCCACAGTCCTGAGTGTGAAAATAAAAAAGGTACAGTAGGTGCTTATGCAGTAACAGATTGGAAATCCCCCAAACTCAGGCAAATTCAAATATCAATTTTAATGTTTGACTTAAAATGTCATACACATTATTTTATGCAGTTTTGTAGACATTCTTTCACAGCTGAAGGATTTAACCATGCATTTATATGTCAATACAGCACTCACACAGAGGAATTCATATCACACCGTCAGAAAGGATAATTCGGTTGAAGGAAATGCAGAGGGAGTCATCTTCTGAGGTCTCATCAGGTTTGAACCATGCATTTGCGTTCAACAAGTGTACCTCTACTTCTTAAGGAATTATACTCTGGTAAATTGTTGTGGAAAGTCCGTGTTGCCCAGCGACAGCCCCAAAACATCACTGCTCTAGAGGAGATCTGCATGGAGGAATGGGACAAAATACCAGCAACAGTGTGTGAAAACCTTGTGAAGACTTACAGAAAACGTTTGACCTGTGTCATTGCCAACAAAGGGTATATAACAAAGTATTGAGAAACTTTTGTTATTGACCAAATACTTATTTTCCACCATAATTTGCAAATAAATTCATTAAAAATCCTACACTGTGATTTTCTGGACACGTCTGGCACTGCAGGATTTGAGTCCCTGGCGGCGTAGTGTGTTACAGATGGTAGGCTTTGTTACTTTGGTCCCAGCTCTCTGCAGGTCATTCACTAGGTCCCCCCGTGTGGTTCTGGGATTTTTGCTCACCGTTCTTGTGATCATTTTGACCCCACGGGGTGAGATCTTGCGTGGAGCCCCAGATCGAGGGAGATTATCAGTGGTCTTGTATGTCTTCCATTTCCTAATAATTGCTTCCACAGTTGATTTCTTCAAACCAAGCTGCTTACCTATTGCAGATTCAGTCTTCCCAGCCTGGTGCAGGTCTACAATTTTGTTTCTGGTGTCCTTTGACAGCTCTTTGGTCTTGGCCATAGTGGAGTTTGGAGTGTGACTGTTTGAGGTTGTGGACAGGTGTCTTTTATACTGATAACAAGTTCAAACAGGTGCCATTAATACAGGTAACGAGTGGAGGACAGAGGAGCCTCTTAAAGAAGAAGTTACAGGTCTGTGAGAGCCAGAAATCTTGCTTGTTTGTAGGTGACCAAATACTTATTTTCCACCATAATTTGCAAATAAATTCATTAAAAATCCTACAATGTGATTTTCCGGAATTTTTTTCCTCAATTTGTCTGTCATAGTTGACGTGTACCTATGATGAAAATTACAGGCCTCTCTCATCTTTTTAAGTGGGAGAACTTGCACAATTGGTGGCTGACTAAATACTTTTTTCCCCCATTGTATTTCTGTACTTAACATTTGCTAAAAGAATTCTAAACATGTTTTCACTTTGTCATTACGGGGTATTGTGTGTAGATGCGTGAGGGAAAAAAAAACTATTTAATCAATTTCGAATTCAGGTTGTAACACACCAAAATGTGAAATAAGTCAAGGGGTATGAATACTTTCGGAAGGCACTGTATATTTTTAAATGCTATAAAAGGAAGAGCAATTAGTGTGACAGAAAAAATTATACTTATTTTCTTAGTAGTACAGTAGCTGCCACTCAAATTTGATATATTTTTATATAATTATTACGAGATTGTCATGTTCGTTTAAGGACGGGTCAAACCAAGGCGCAGCGTGAAATGCATACATGTTTATTTCAATGATAAACACACAACCAAAACAACATAACGTGAAGTCCTCAGGCTAAACGCAACACAAGCCTCTAAACGGAACAAGATCCCACAACTAATGAGTGCCAACAGGCTACTTAAGTATGATCAGCGACAGCTGCCTCTGATTGGGAATCACACCCGGCCAAACATAGAAACACACAACATAGAATGCAAACATAGAAATACTAACATACAGTGGGGGAGAACAAGTATTTGATACACTGTCGATTTTGCAGGTTTTCCTACTTACAAAGCATGTAGAGGTCTGTCATTTTTATAATAGGTACACTTCAACTGTGAGAGACAGAATCTAAAACAAAAATCCAGAAAATCACATAGTATGATTTTTAAGTAATTAATTTGCATTTTATTGCATGACATAAGTATTTGATCACCTACCAACCAGTAAGACTTCCGGCTCTCACAGACCTGTTAGTTTTTCTTTAAGAAGCCCTCCTGTTCGCCACTCATTACCTGTATTAACTGCACCTGTTTGAACTCGTTACCTGTATAAAAGACACCTGTCCACACACTCAATCAAACAGACTCCAACCTCTCCACAATGACCAAAGACCAGAGAGCTGTGTAAGGACATCAGGGATAAAATTGTAGACCTGCACAAGGCTGGGATGGGCTACAGTCCCAAAGGTGCGGACTCCGACCGCACAAACCTTACATAACAGGGTAGGGTCCGGGTGGCCATTCCGCCTCGGAGGCGGATCCGGCTCCGGGCGTGATGACCACATTCTCTCAGCCTCCCCGTTGCGCCCCTGGTCTGGTCTGGACCTCTGCGCGCTGCTTCCCCTCTCCTTCCTCCCACGATGTACCAAGCCCTGTCTGGACCCTGGTATGGGAGACCCCGAACCTGGAGAGGGGCTGACGTCTGGGTCTGGACTGGAGCCGCTGACCAGAGCTGGACTTGGCACCGGTGGAGCGGACTGCTCTGGCTCCGGAGTGGAGCTGCTGACCGGAGCTGAACTTGGCACCGGTGGAGCGGACTGCTCTAGCTCCGGAGTGGAGCAGCTGACCGGAGCTGGACTAGACCCCGGTGGAGCGGACTGCTCTGGCTCCGGAGTGGAGCAGCTGACCGGAGTTGGATCAGGCACCGGTGGAGCGGACTGCTCTGGCTCCGGAGTGGAGCCGCTGACCGGAGCTGGACTAGGTACCGGTGGAGCGGACTACTCTAGCTCCGGAGTGGAGCAGCTGACCGGAGCTGGACTGGTCCCCAGTGGAGCGGACTGCTCTGGCTCCGGAGTGGAGCAGCTGACCGGAGCTGGATCAGGCACCGGTGGAGCGGACTGCTCTGGCTCCGGAGTGGAGCAGCTGACCGTTGCCGGACCAGGCACCGGTGGAACAGGCACGCACTGGTTACTTCTGGAGGTGTCCAAAGTAACCAGCAAGATTGGGGCTATCTATCACACCAATAGTGTCAATCACACTGATAGTCCAATCTCACCCGGCCCCAGAACGGACACGAATGTTTCTTGGGTGTCCTGTGCAGCCTCAGACATCTCTGAAGATCTTGTCCTCAGAATCCTAGACTTCATATCATACTGTCGGTCACCAGACAGCACCTGGAATGGGCCACAGAGCCGATGCTCCACTGACATGACCGGAGATCTCATGGATGCAGTCATGGTGGAGCTCTTCACTAACACAGCCATGCTGGCGACTCCAGAAGATGACCACCAGCAACAATGGTGCAAACCCTCCCTTACAGATCTGGAGAAAGCTGCCAGATTAGTGTATGAGAAGATGGTGAGGGAAACTGGCTCAGCTGAGGCATTGCAAGACGCTCTCAAGCTCAGAAGGAAGCTTGCAGTCACAGCACTGGCTGATGTAGTGGCAAAGCAAGTGTACAAGCTCTTCCCAGAACAGGAGTCAGACTCCACATATCTCCCAGCCCAAACCAGCCACAAAGATGACTGCCCTGTTACGAGCCACAGTAACAGACAGCTCACACCTGAGCTTGCTGCTGTTCAATCTGCCAGTGAGTGCATAGTGAACTGCAAGGCTGTGTGGGAGATCATCTCCAGACTGCTGCAGGAGATTTCTCCTAACGTGCCCATGGAAGAGAAGCGCCACCTTTATGCTCAGGATCTTTTTCATTGTGCTATAAATCAACTGTCTGAGTCTCCAGGGGTAAGAGTATGTGCTGATGAGACTATCTGTGATGTCTGCCGCCATCCACAGGTCATTGAGTAAATCCGCGGCCGTGTTCTGGAGTGCCTGCAATTTCAGATGAACCTCATGGGCTACAACTTAAGCTCTGCCCTGGATGCCCAAGATGAGGCTCTCAGCTACTTCATTGTTGCTCATCTTGTGCAAGAGACTCTGCTGTTGATCTCAAGTCAAACCAATGGCAGCTCCCCTGAAGTAGACTCAGGTTCCCACCATCAACCTGAGAGTCAAACACCACTATATGTAGTGAGTAGCAAAGTAAATTATGAAGAATGGCCCACGTGGCATTCAAACATCACTTTATCAAAGGGCCTTTCCACCATTTCTGCAACCAAGGGCTTGTCACCAAGGGCTTGCCTTTCCACTGTTTCTGCAACAAAGGGCCTATCACAGATGCCAGGTCAAACATACACTGGCAGAAGGGGGCCCACAGTCCTGAGTGTGAAAATAAAAAAGGTACAGTAGGTGCTTATGCAGTAACAGATTGGAAATCCCCCAAACTCAGGCAAATTCAAATATCAATTTTAATGTTTGACTTAAAATGTCATACACATTATTTTATGCAGTTTTGTAGACATTCTTTCACAGCTGAAGGATTTAACCATGCATTTATATGTCAATACAGCACTCACACAGAGGAATTCATATCACACCGTCAGAAAGGATAATTCGGTTGAAGGAAATGCAGAGGGAGTCATCTTCTGAGGTCTCATCAGGTTTGAACCATGCATTTGCGTTCAACAAGTGTACCTCTACTTCTTAAGGAATTATACTCTGGTAAATTGTTGTGGAAAGTCCGTGTTGCCCAGCGACAGCCCCAAAACATCACTGCTCTAGAGGAGATCTGCATGGAGGAATGGGACAAAATACCAGCAACAGTGTGTGAAAACCTTGTGAAGACTTACAGAAAACGTTTGACCTGTGTCATTGCCAACAAAGGGTATATAACAAAGTATTGAGAAACTTTTGTTATTGACCAAATACTTATTTTCCACCATAATTTGCAAATAAATTCATTAAAAATCCTACACTGTGATTTTCTGGACACGTCTGGCACTGCAGGATTTGAGTCCCTGGCGGCGTAGTGTGTTACAGATGGTAGGCTTTGTTACTTTGGTTCCAGGTCTCTGCAGGTCATTCACTAGGTCCCCCCGTGTGGTTCTGGGATTTTTGCTCACCGTTCTTGTGATCATTTTGACCCCACGGGGTGAGATCTTGCGTGGAGCCCCAGATCGAGGGAGATTATCAGTGGTCTTGTATGTCTTCCATTTCCTAATAATTGCTTCCACAGTTGATTTCTTCAAACCAAGCTGCTTACCTATTGCAGATTCAGTCTTCCCAGCCTGGTGCAGGTCTACAATTTTGTTTCTGGTGTCCTTTGACAGCTCTTTGGTCTTGGCCATAGTGGAGTTTGGAGTGTGACTGTTTGAGGTTGTGGACAGGTGTATTTTATACTGATAACAAGTTCAAACAGGTGCCATTAATACAGGTAACGAGTGGAGGACAGAGGAGCCTCTTAAAGAAGAAGTAACAGGTCTGTGAGAGCCAGAAATCTTGCTTGTTTGTAGGTGACCAAATACTTATTTTCCACCATAATTTGCAAATAAATTCATTAAAAATCCTACAATGTGATTTTCCGAAAATTTTTTCCTCAATTTGTCTGTCATAGTTGACGTGTACCTATGATGAAAATTACAGGCCTCTCTCATCTTTTTAAGTGGGAGAACTTGCACAATTGGTGGCTGACTAAATACTTTTTCCCCCCATTGTATTTCTGTACTTAACATTTGCTAAAAGAATTCTAAACATGTTTTCACTTTGTCATTACGGGGTATTGTGTGTAGATGCGTGAGGGAAAAAAAACAATTTAATCAATTTCGAATTCAGGTTGTAACACACCAAAATGTGAAATAAGTCAAGGGGTATGAATACTTTCGGAAGGCACTGTATATTTTGAAATGCTATAAAAGGAAGAGCAATTAGTGTGACAGAAAAAATTATACTTATTTTCTTAGTAGTACAGTAGCTGCCACTCAAATTTGATATATTTTTATATAATTATTACGAGATTGTCATGTTCGTTTAAGGACGGGTCAAACCAAGGCGCAGCGTGAAATGCATACATGTTTATTTCAATGATAAACACACAACCAAAACAACATAACGTGAAGTCCTCAGGCTAAACGCAACACAAGCCTCTAAACGGAACAAGATCCCACAACTAATGAGTGCCAACAGGCTACTTAAGTATGATCAGCGACAGCTGCCTCTGATTGGGAATCACACCCGGCCAAACATAGAAACACACAACATAGAATGCAAACATAGAAATACTAACATACAGTGGGGGAGAACAAGTATTTGATACACTGTCGATTTTGCAGGTTTTCCTACTTACAAAGCATGTAGAGGTCTGTCATTTTTATAATAGGTACACTTCAACTGTGAGAGACAGAATCTAAAACAAAAATCCAGAAAATCACATAGTATGATTTTTAAGTAATTAATTTGCATTTTATTGCATGACATAAGTATTTGATCACCTACCAACCAGTAAGACTTCCGGCTCTCACAGACCTGTTAGTTTTTCTTTAAGAAGCCCTCCTGTTCGCCACTCATTACCTGTATTAACTGCACCTGTTTGAACTCGTTACCTGTATAAAAGACACCTGTCCACACACTCAATCAAACAGACTCCAACCTCTCCACAATGACCAAAGACCAGAGAGCTGTGTAAGGACATCAGGGATAAAATTGTAGACCTGCACAAGGCTGGGATGGGCTACAGTCCCAAAGGTGCGGACTCCGACCGCACAAACCTTACATAACAGGGTAGGGTCCGGGTGGCCATTCCGCCTCGGAGGCGGATCCGGCTCCGGGCGTGATGACCACATTCTCTCAGCCTCCCCGTTGCGCCCCTGGTCTGGTCTGGACCTCTGCGCGCTGCTTCCCCTCTCCTTCCTCCCACGATGTACCAAGCCCTGTCTGGACCCTGGTATGGGAGACCCCGAACCTGGAGAGGGGCTGACGTCTGGGTCTGGACTGGAGCCGCTGACCAGAGCTGGACTTGGCACCGGTGGAGCGGACTGCTCTGGCTCCGGAGTGGAGCTGCTGACCGGAGCTGAACTTGGCACCGGTGGAGCGGACTACTCTAGCTCCGGAGTGGAGCAGCTGACCGGAGCTGGACTAGACCCCGGTGGAGCGGACTGCTCTGGCTCCGGAGTGGAGCAGCTGACCGGAGTTGGATCAGGCACCGGTGGAGCGGACTGCTCTGGCTCCGGAGTGGAGCCGCTGACCGGAGCTGGACTAGGTACCGGTGGAGCGGACTACTCTAGCTCCGGAGTGGAGCAGCTGACCGGAGCTGGACTAGTCCCCAGTGGAGCGGACTGCTCTGGCTCCGGAGTGGAGCAGCTGACCGGAGCTGGATCAGGCACCGGTGGAGCGGACTGCTCTGGCTCCGGAGTGGAGTAGCTGACCGTTGCCGGACCAGGCACCGGTGGAACAGGCACGCATCGGTGCGAGGAACGGGCCAGGCCGGACTGGCGACACGCACCACTGGCTTGGTGCGGGGAGCAGGCACGGGCCGTACCAGACTGGGAACACGCACCACTGGCTTGGTGCGAGGAGCAGGAATGGGCCGGGCCGGACTGGCGACACGCACCACTGGCTTGGTGCGGGGAGCAGGCGCGGGCCGTACCGGACTGGGAACACGCACCTCTGGCCTGGTGCGAGGAACAGGAAACGGGCCGGGCCGGACTGGCGACACGCACCACTGGCTTGGTGCGGGGAGCAGGCACGGGCCGTACCGGACTGGGAACACGCACCACTGGCTTGGTGCGAGGAGCAGGAACGGGCCGGGCCGGACTGGCGACACGCACCACTGACTTGGTGCGGGGAGCAGGCACGGGCCGTACCGGACTGGGAACACGCACCACTAGCTTGGTGCGAGACGCAGGCACGAGGTGTACCGGACTGGGAACTGACATTAGAGATTTCCGACTGTACCAGTCTTTCACTCTCCACGCCCAGTCCTCCTCCCGTGAGGACTCCTCCCTGAGCCCCCACGAGTGCAGTGGTCGGGGCTCTTCTCCATCGATCCCCGACCACCCTTTTAGCCCCCCCCCCAAAAAAAAATGTATTGGGGCTGTCTCTCGGGCTTCCTCCTCGGCCGGCACCTTCTGCGTTGCTGTTGCTCCTCTCTAAACCGGGCCTCCACTGTCTCCTCCCAAGGACGGCGATCCATCCCAGCCTGGATCTCCTCCCATGTCCAGGATCCCTTTCCGTCCAGGATCTCCTCCCATGTCCAGGATGTCTGCTCCTGGGCACGCTGCTTGGTCCATTTTTGGTGGGATCTTCTGTCACGTTCGTTTAAGGACGGGTCAGACCAAGGCGCAGCGTGAAATGCATACATGTTTATATCAACGATAAACACACGAACAAAACAACATAACGTGAAGTCCTCAGGCTAAACACAACACAACACAAGCCTCTAAACGGAACAAGATCCCACAACTAATGAGTGCCAACAGGCTACTTAAGTATGATCCCCAATCAGAGACAACGAGCGACAGCTGCCTCTGATTGGGAATCACACCCGGCCAAACATAGAAACACACAACATAGAATGCATACAAGAGTCCCATAAGTCAGGGCGTGACAGAGATAAGGTCGTCACAAGTGACACTGACTCTTACTAAACTAGAGACTGACATTCTTTTTATATTATGTATCAGCATATTTAGGAGTGCCTTTTAATCACCTGTGCTGTGTGTTGTTTTACAACGATTGCCTTTTGAATTGCATGAATTATTTATTTGCTTGCATGGTGTGCTGTGATCCCCAGATTGGCATGGACTACATTGACCTGAGACAGCTGTTGCCAATTCCCTATCACCGCCTCCCTCCCCAAACTAATAGCTAAACACGCCCCAGAAACAGTGTTGCAAACTTAGCGACTTTGTCGCTATATTTAGCAAGTTTTCAGACCCCTCTCGCGACACATTTTCAAAAAAGCGACTAGCGACTTTTTCTGGTGTTATTGGAGACTTTTGGAGACTCTGACGTGAAAGCACGTATCGTTCTTACTCTTCTCAACGAGCAGCGGGTGCTGCCGTGGGCCCCACCCCCATCCCAAAGCACTCACAGGCGACCCAGTCCTCGCGCAGCAGTCCCTCCCAGCTGCAGTCAGAGCAGGAGATGTTCACCCCTCCGCGTCCAGACTGCAAATGAATCGCGCATGCGGGAAGCTGACGCTGGCTGATCCTTTACTCACTTTTTGTCTCTCCCACGATGTTATTCCTCTCTCCTACAGCGTCCATCACAATTACATACACATGGTCCAATTATGCAAATTAGGTGATGATGTCATTTAGGGTACAGCCGAACAAACAAACCCTGCTCGGGTAGAGCCAAACGAACGAACCCTGCTCGGGTAGAGCCAAACGAACATTGGCCACCGCTCTGAGTGAATCAACTGCTGTTAGTTTCCCCGGTGCTCATAGTTAGCCTTTAGTTCTAAATCCTAGCCTTTTTACATGTTCTAATCGGGCCATAGTGATACTGTGTTTGTCATTGTTGTAAATGCTGAATTTATAATACAGAACTTTTGATTGTACTTTGGCCTGTCTTTGTGGTTGTGTTTGCCGTGGGATTATAGAACTCTGCGTTTGAAATCACGTTATTAGGAAATAATTCAATAACTCGTT